CAATATTCTCAAGAAAAAAAGCTGTCTATGCACAAAACAGGTTATTTTCCAATAATGTTCACTGTGCTTGGGGTAGAGAAAATACAAATATTAGGTCTAATTTTGTTCTAAATTAAAGTTTAAGACAGGAAAATATGGAATGAATTAAACAGAAGTCCTCCAAAAGCAGTTTAATACTTTAGGCTTCTGGCATTCTCAGTATTCATTTCTAAATAGCATTAAACACAATCAACATGTACATTTAAAATGTAACAAAGAGGTTTAAAGAGGTTGTCTGCTTGTGCTTGCTCTCCAGTTTTTGTCATGTATTCTCCCTTCCCATCTTTTATTTTTGAGCTGTGCCTGATTACTCCTTCAAATTACCTTGTCTCCCAACCTATATCAATTATAATATTAAAGGTTATTATTGCTATTCTTAGATTGCTTCATATCTTTCTAAATCTATCAATTATCCATTTACTCTATACCACCTCTATACCATTGTAAATGTATTACTTCACAATCAGTTATATCAGTACTTTCTAAATATTAACACAGACTAACTGACTTTTTTTAAAGTAAGAATAAGGTCATTCAATTATTCATATTCTGAAGATTTGAGAACACTCCAAAACATTCTTTTTTTTTTTTTTTTTTTTTGGTTAGATTTAAAAGCAACATGCATTTGAGCAAAATTCCTGTCTTCTCACTGGAGCCACCTGGATCTTCTTTGGATTGATAAAATAAAAAACACTAGGAAAATTTAAACGAAAAAAAAAAAAGAAACGAACAAACCTTTAAATGTTTCTCAGCCTGCAATCTTTCTCATTTGACCTTTTGCCACAAGAAAAGAAACAACAAAAGATTTAAAACAGGACATTCTGAACCTCCCCTTCTAAAGAGTTCATGTGGTACTGTTCTTTTTGCTGAATGTTTTATTAATGACTTATTACATGGCTTATATAAATACATCTTTTGAACTGACCCAGATGTTGACTGAACTCTGTCTAGGAAAAAGGCTGAAAAAAGGTAAAAATAATTGCTATTTGCTATTTAAAATAAGTGTATGCATTATAATGAGAAATAAAGCTGCAAGCATTGGACAGGCCTCACAGCTCAGCGTCGCTCGGCCTATGTTGATCATTCGGAGCTGCACATCATCACTTCAGTGCCTTTCCTGATTTGGCCTAAATCCAATCTTCATAAGACAAGTTGTGGCAACTTCTTGAGTGAGCTTGACTGTCCAATCACATAGACACTCATTTCACACACCTGCTTACAGTAGCTCTGCCGGGTTCTCATCACCTGCTTTTCTGATCCACCTGCTTTAGTCTATATTTAACCAGCCTTCAGGCCAGTCATCAGTGCCAGATTATTTTCGAGCTGTTGGTCGGAATTATTCTAGGGTTCCTGTATTCTGATTACCTGATCCTGAGCCATTCTGCCTCTGGACCTCTGAGCCTGCCTGTCCCTGTCTGATCTTTTTGCCTGATCTGTCTTCTGACTCTTGCCTGTTTGTGTACCGTACCTGTAACTTTGAACCAAATTTGTCCTGGATTCTCCATCGGTACTTCACTAGATCTCTGACCTCTTGACTCAGACAACCGAGCACATCACTGGCATCGGCTTTGCCCTCGGGATTGTCCTGCCTTCCTTCGTCTGCTCAGCTCTGATCTCCTGCCTGTTGATACTTCAACGTCTGGGACTCTCTTTGTGGAAACCACTGCATCGAGTTTGCAACCGACCGGCTGGGACCAACCTCACCCTTTGGGCTCTAACTGAACTATAAGACCAGGTTCCAAAAAGACGTGGTCACTAACCTGTTATCTCCTCCTGCAGAAGTTCCTGCCTTTAATGCAACACTGCTCTCTTCAGTTTTCAATAAACGCTTTAAGAAATCTAACTGTTTGTCAGCCTTGAGTACTGGATCTTACTGTTCTGAGCCTGACAATGTCATATTTACCAAATGCATAACTCAGGAGGTATTTTTGCAGAGGCACACCTGTTAATATTGAGGACCATATTTTTGTGGAATAATCAAACAATATTACATTAAAATTACAGTTTCATTTCTCAACTAGAATCATATTTTATTAGGTCCTTATGGCCATACAGCAATTCCCAATTCAATTATAAAACCAAGAATTGCATATAGTATTTTACCAAATTCCTTTCCTTTGGCGCCTGTAAAAAAAATTGTTTAATGTCACATATAAGAAAAATATGCAAAAGTGTGTTCAAATCCTTTGCATTAGAATTTTTGATTTGCTTCATTCTTTTTAGAATTTTTTTATGTTTAACCAGGGATCTGATCCCCATTTGAACTAAATGGAGCCTAGGCATATTTTCAATGTGATAGACTGTGCCAAGCTTTACCTGTGTATCCCAACTGTCCTGTCATCCGAAATCTACCGCTGCCATTTCTTTTCTGCCCTCCAAACCTCTTCATCAGATAATACAGTAACATCAAAGACTTTATAAGCTGCCTCATCAAGGTCAAGTGTGCCTGCCTTCTATCAAGGCTTCAACCCACCTCCACCACCTTCACCACCATGGTCTACCTCCTACATCATTCAGCTCCCTTCATCCTTTATCTTCTAGTCCACCACTAGTGTCCTGGCCCTAGGGGTAAGACCTCTTCATTCTAATTAGTCTGCCCATTCTATCATCAGCAGCAATGCTCTGCTCTATATCTATGTAATTGCCTCCTTGTCTTATTGTCTCCTTGTTAGTCTTTCCAGGTTGAAATGACTATCAGAACATATAACGTATTAATAAGCCTCTGATGAAACCAAAAGTGTTTGGCTTTATCAAAATTGACAATTTCCGTTGAAGTAGTTTACGTAGATTATCTAAAGTTACTCTATGATTACATTTAAAAAGACATGAAATTATCACTTTTTAAAACAGGTATGAATTGTTCCCAAGGCATTGTAACTCATGCAACACAATTGACAGCTCCTTTTCATTCCTATAAAGTCTCCCATAGTGTTATTGAACCTGGAAAACGAACATAAAATAGTGAAAGTGCAGAATCACCAGGATCTAATTTTATCTAAATGTAGCTGAAACAAACATAAAAATAAATAAATAAATAAATAAATAAAGGGTGCAGTAGTGCTGGATGCCAAAAATTATTGAGCACACTAAAGTCCGATTTAGTTTATATTGAACACTTATGTAATGATGAGCAAAAAGCTTGATCGAAGAATCTCACATCCTATCTGACTCATATCAAATTATTGCTCTTAAACGGATTCTGCCTGTAAATTTTTTTTTTATTCTTGTGGCCTTCCGAACACTCAATATGGAAAAAATATTCAACCTTGCACTTTCTCACCTTGAATTAGGAGTATGCTCTTTGATAAAGGAGTTTAAGTCTAATCAGGCCTGATTAATTATACTGATAGGCACAAAGCTTGCTAACCTAATTGATGGCTTTATCTGTGTTTTGCACTGTGCTGAAGGGATGGTATTGTTTCTCATGAGAACACAGGAAGATTTACCCCTTTGAAGGTTGCTAATGCTCAAGTGTAGCAGCTGGAGGGGGGGGTTGTTCAAACATGAGAACAAACATGAGAACAAAGTCTTCTAAACGATGTAGAAGTCCATTAAATTACACTACAATCTAATGTAGTATCACATCAATATAAGTTTGCTTTATACAATTTGTAAATTAACTGTGTTGTAATAGGTATTGTTGGTGTGTCTAGAACAGGTGTTTTTTTCTTTAAGAAACTTTATTTACTGATAAACTTAACTTAGTGTTTAATGTTGCTTTAAATTTTTCTTTCAAATATTCACTTTTTATATAAACCTAGTGCAAGTTATTTCTGTTTTGTCTAAGAAACTATTCTTCATAGATTATATTAACTTTGTCATGTATTTGCATTCACTGCTTGTTGAAGTACTGAATACATGTCTTTGTTTTAAGTCTGTCTTCTGTCATATTTTAGATTAGAATAAGAATTGGGAAATAAAAAAATGCAGAACCTTGTGATTATCTTTGCTGCCTTTATTTGGTAGACATGATGAACTGATTTTGAAGAAGTTGGTATCTTTGTATTAATTAACTGGGAGTCTAAAATATGTTGATATAAAATGATGTCTGACTGTAAAAAGTAAGAAACATCACTAACATTTCTGAAATAAGGTTTTGTAAAAAATTACTTATTTCAAGAGAAGCAATAAATCTTTTCATTATTTTAATGTAAACCATTTAGATATGGGGTTTGGCTTGAATTTATGTTTATGTGGTCAAAAAATATCTAATTAAATCAAATAATGGATGTATGGACAGAAATGTAAAAATCCACACTTTACAGTAACGGATATATTAAATGCTAAAAAAAAGTATACCTGGCATGGCCAGAAACTGCAGCTTACTTTAAAGAACATGACCTTACATTAAATAAATGGGCTAGGTGCAGTGAGATGACTGATATTCCTTGTTTTTCTAAAATATATTGAAGCATCACTTATGTTTTATACAAGACAGCCTACTAAAGTCTTAAATTCTGCAACTTTTAATGGTTTTTGCCATTTAGTTGCCTCTTATTATGCAGTGTTACTCTTTTACAAGCGCAGTACTGACTGTCTTCTGGAGCTTTGGGATACAGAGACACTTGTGCTTTCACTGTGTCTAGAACTATGATTTATTAATACTCTTCCTAGGTTACGCAGTACTAAAAATACTTTTGAAGCACAGCACCTCATGTACGATGCAGCTGGGCAAGTAGTCCACAGACACTTGAGGTGGTATTTGTCATCTCAGCAGCTCTCCTCTATAACAACATGCACATCCAGGGATGATCTGGGGATTCAGGTTACCTGAACATGTGAAACTCCCTGACTTAGCACCTTATTGATCTGGCTCTTTCATGTATCAACAGTATGACTTGGCAAAATGATTTATTGATACTTACACCCTTTGATCTTAATGAACGTTTGTTACGGATTTCAAGGTGAATTTAAGTTTTATCTTGGTGCAGATGTTTCTCTTTTTTTATTTGTGTCTACAGTACGAATACTTCAATGCAGTTCTGATCAATGAGGTTGATGAGGAGGGGAACAATGTAGAGCTGGGAGGAGAGTTTATCCTGCAGCCCAACGATCATTTTAACAACCTATCAGTCAATCTCAGCCTCAGTGTGGTCCAGGTGCCCACCAACATGTACAATAAAGGTATGTTCACAATCCACAATATACAAACCTTACACAAAATTACATTAATATTGGAAAATAAATGTTAAGAAATGCTTTACATGGATGCAGGCTGTTTGCTTGTTTGACCATGAAAAAAGTAATTGCTGTCAAAAACAGTCAACTAGATAATGCTGAATCTTAAATAAAATTTTATGGCTAAAATGTGTGGTTAACAATAAGTATACATTTTTTTTATATGGAATAATTAACCAAGATTGATTAAGTTTTAGTTATGTTTCCTAAACCTACCATTACTAAACAACAACAAGCAACAAAAAAACCTCTCGAAGAAATACCTTGTACTCGCTGTCTCCTGCTTCATCAGGGACCGGTTCTTGGGTGCAGCAGTCTCAGTAGAGACTCCAAGTCTTCCTGTCTGCAAACACCTCCTCCAGCTCTGCTTGGGGAAGCCTGGGGCACTCCCCTGAGTCTGCTCCCAGGTGGGGTGTGCCTGGAACAACACCCGAGGGAGGTGTCCAGATGTTATCTGGAAAAGATGTCCGAGCCACCTCAGCGGACTTTTCGATGCAGAGGAGAAGGGGCTCTGCTCCGAGCCCCTCCTGATGACGTGGCTCCTTACATTATCTCTAAGGTTCAGCCACTCTGTGGAGAAAGCTCATTTCAGCTGCTTGTATCTGGAATTTTGTTCTTTCATTCGGGATCCAGATTGGATGACCATAGGTGAGGGTAGGAATGTAGACCGACCAGTAAATTGAGAGCTTTGCCTTTTTGCTCAGCTATCTCTTCACCACGACAGACAGGTGCAACAGCTGCATTATAGCAGCAGCTGTCTATTGATCTTCTCCTTCATTGTCCCCTCACTTGTGAACAGGACCCCAAGATACTTAAATTCCTCCAAATGAGGCAGGGATTCAAGAGATACACATGATTGAGAACCATGGCCTCTGACTTGGAGGAGCTGATTCTAATCCACCGGTCCCCAAATCAGACCCCCTCTTGTCCTTGCTGCGCCTAGAAATTGTGTCAATAAAGTTTATGAACAGGACCGGTGACAGAGGGCAGCCCTGGCTGAGTCTAACGACAGGTCTGACTTAATGCTTGCAATGTGGACTAGGCTCCTGCTACACTTATACCTGCGGATTGCCCCTAGTTGAGGGAACCTGACTACAATCCTGAAGGCACTACAACACCTGAATGCCTTCTCCACTTCCATACAGCACATGAGGACTGGTTGGGCAAATTCCCATGAACCCTCGGGCACCCTGCAGAGGATGTGAAGCTGGTCCACTGTTCCATGGCCAGGATGAAAACCAGACTGCTCCTCTTGATGCAGAAGTTCAACCATCAGTCGGACATATGGCCACAACTACGGGTGGCCACATCAACAATAGATGGTGAAAACATGGCCCACTCATACTCCATGTCTCCAGCCTCCAGCCAAAACTGGAAGAAGCTCCGCATGAGGTGGGAGTCTGACACATCCGTGACCGAGGACTCCACCAAACAATGCCATCAGATCCTCACTACTCACTTTGGCTTGCCACATGTGTCTGGCCTCTTCTTCTTCTAGCGTATCCAGCACACAACCAGGTAGTGGTCGGTGTACAGCTCTGCCCCTTTTTTTACCCGACTGTCCAAGATATGCAAAAAAAGGTCAGAAGATACGACTACAACGTCCATGATCGGCCTAGGGTGTCCTAGCACTAGGTGCACCTATGGACATCCTTAAGCTTTAAAATGGTGTTCTGAGCTGGGGCGAGACGCTGCCCTCTGTCTCTTCTTGCTACCCACTCCAGAGTAGGAAAGAGTCCAGCCTCTCTCAAGATGATGGGTTCCAGAGCCCACGCTATGTGTGGCAGAGAGGCTGACTATCGCTAGCCGGTTTTGTTCCACCTCCCACACAAGCTGAACCCCCCACAGCCCCGCTGCTCCCAGTGAAGTGACAGAGCCAGTCTCCCCAGATCCAGCCTTAGGGCCCATGCACTAGGGGGCCCGTGCATTTGGGCGCCTCCGACTCCTGCCCAATCCTCTTTGCACATGTCCCTCATGGTTCTCCCTGCAGGAGCTGAGCCCACTGGGGCCACGATGTGCTCGCGGAATAACCTAAACACCAGGCCTGGCTCAGGGGTGGGGTCACGGCTATGTTCCAGGCGATGTCATGTGCCTTGGCTAGAAATTTTTATTAAAAAATACATTTGATTATCAATACCATTATGTACTTAATAGTTAATCATATTTCTGATTTTGAAAAAATTTCAGAAAAAATTATTTTCAGTGCAATGTTTTTTTTCTTTTATGTTTTTACAAACTGCAAGGATGCTGCAGGCAAAGTAGTAATAGGCATATAAAAAAATAAAAGCTCATCCTGCCCAATAGTAAGTACTTATAGCTTCTCGTTGTCTGATAAAAGTGAATTATATATCTTCAGGTAATGAGGCTTGGAGCTATAACATTAAAACTGCAATAATAGCAAAGCCAGAATTTATACTACAAGTGAAAAAGTTTAAAAATCACACAAAAACATAGCTTTAGTCTTAAGTGAATAATGCATGTTTCTATCAGAAGGTGGACATGACTTCATTATATGCAACTCCTTGGTTCATTACTGCAACACTTTGACCTAATTAGCTGTTAATAATTAGGCTTCTTCTGATTTACCATCAGCTCAAATCCAACATGAGAATTTAAGGCCTCTTACAAGGCTCAGTGGACAAAGTGAATGTCAAGTTGACTTAACTGAGTTACGAGAGGCAAAAATGTATATAGAAAAAGAGAGAGGAGGAAAATGGAGGAAGAGAGCAAGGAGAATATAATTGAAAACGAAAGTAGGTTAAGTCAGACTGATGGAAGGTCTAAGCAAGGAATTAATTGCACCCTGGAAAAAGAAAAGAAAAGCAAATGAGAGCGTCAGGAACAAAAGTTAGAAACTAAATAAATCAATTGCATGGAAAGTTGGGTTATCAGCTCATAGAAGAGGAGGAATAATTAATATGTGATTTATAGACTAAAGATTCAACAGAGAAACTTACATATTTAGATGCTTTACTAGAAATATGGAAAACTGCTCTTATCTTTCAACTCTGCTCTAGTTTAATTTAGTCAGGTAAACATCACAGGTGTAATTATTCACTCCATCTTTCCTCGCTCATCTGAAACATCTGCAGCTCAGGGGTAAACTTTGGACATGATTGTCTTTGCAATGTGACCTGGTTTTTCATGTGTCTGAATAAGTTAAAGCTAAACAAAACTTATTCTGCTGCATACTGTTGGATAGAGGGTCACTTAAAGCATTTGGAAATAAGACTTTTACCTACAGCTTTTGTTTTAGGAATATTTATGCACATGGAATTGGTTTTGCCTGAACACTCCTAGAAAGAGTGTGAACCAACTTGAATTCCAGATCCCATCTGCAGAAGAACCATGTGTTTAATTCAAGCACATGGTTTATTGGTCAGCACACAGTTTAAATAATTTCCCTAGAAAAGTGGCAAAGAATAATTGTATCATTGTTCACTACATCGAACTTTCAGGCTTTCCTCCCAAACACATTAATTTGCAGTAATTGAGGTTGAGAATACCAACCAAATAGAAATATACGGACCTGAGATACAGTACATCCTTTATCGGGTCTGTGAAAATCACAGCCTCCAACAGATCTGTAACCTGAAATAAGCTACAGAGGTAATGGTTGGGGTGGCAGAATTTAGTAGAAAGCTGCTTGATTGAGGAAAATATAGAGTCTGTATTTAAATAATTAACTGACTTTATTCCTTTTTTATGTCAGGCCCAGGATACTGAATCTGTCCTGAATGGGACAAAGTAGCAATTTTCTACAAAACAAAAGTTAAAGCAGTAGGGGCAAGAAAGCTCGAGTTGCTTTTGAAAACAAGAAGAGATTTTCAGAGAAGCAATAACCACTGGACAGCCAGTTAATTGTAGAAGTGGAAGTTGTGATCAAAGAGATAAGAGCAAGGAAAACAGAGATAAACATTGTTTGCACCCGTCCAAGCAGTGAATCTCTCTTATGCCCAGTAGTAGTACCTTACTGGATTTCCAAATTCTGGCTGGCTTGCCATGCCATAAAAAGTTATCACAATCAGTCTGTTCGACTTTTCAAAAGAAATCTGTTAAGAAAATTAGGAATATTCTAAAACAAGTTTTGGAATTTGGAAGAATCACAATTTTAACGGAATGTATCCAGCCTACAAATGAAAGAGGCAGAACAGCCCAATTGGCAGAATCCCTTTCGGTTCTCTCAAGCAGAAGGTTGATACAACACAGTTCCCCAATAGATTTGGATATCTGGTTACCCAGGTATCGAAAACCACCAGATGACCACCTGAATGGCAAAATGGAGGGAGAATTTTTTTTTGGCAGAATAATTAATAGGCAACAGTTTGCTTACAAAAGATAAAAATCTTAGAAAGAATATTAAAGTCAACATTCAAAAGTGAAATGGCTCAATAACTATCAGATAGTGGAGGGTCTTTGTCCTCTTTAAGCATGGTGGCCTCCAACAGAGTATCTGGTAATATTTGGAAGTAAACCCATCAGGTCCAGGGAATTTTCCACTCTGGAGTACATCAGTCACCTACTGAACCTCAGCTATAGTGTCGGGGGGTTCCCAAAATATTTGCTTTCTCGTCCTTAACATGTTGGAATTTGATGTTTTCTAGTAAATAGTCTGGAAGATGAGGAAGTCTAAGGTGTAAAGGGATCAGTACAACTGAAGAGACCTTAAGTAAAGGTTTAATTATATATAACTTATATATATACCTGCAGTACATATGGGATCCTTGCCTCTCAGGAAGTATTGGCAGGCCACTGTGTTACTGTGTACCTGGTCTCGGTGACACTGAGTTGTTAGTCAATTGGCCCTTTTCAATTCCTGGATGCTCAGCAACCTGAAGCCAGGACTCTAACTATGACAACCTCTCCCACAAAGCTACAAAAATACTCAACTTTTTACACGTACCATTATTGCTAAGGGGGCAAAGGAATAACTAACATCTAATGCTAATAAAGAGTAGGACAGAGGAGATTTAGACAGAGCCATAGTAGCACTAAGCTAGTGCTAGGCTTGCTATCCTCTACCAGAAATAAAACTTGTTAACATGGAAAGGTCCCAGTGGAAAAGCGCAGCATTAGAAAATGTGAATTTACATTTAGAGTAACTTATTGATATCACATACAGCTTTAGTTAATATAGCTAGAAACCACTAATCAGGGCTTGAAAATCTGGTTGTGGTGATGGACTCTGACCTGAATCTTCAGAGGCACATAAAGACAGTAAAAATGTGTGCCTTCTATCACTTAAAGAACATCTCCCAGTTAAAGGGCTAATGTCTCAGCAGGAACTTAAAAAAGTGATTAATGTCTTTTGTAGAACTGATTAATGCAGTGGTGTCTTCACAACTCGGCTGAAAGGTTGATTGGACAGTTGCAGTTGATAGAGAGTGCTGTGTCCTCAGAAAGTGGAGCATTTCACCTTAATTTCAATATCGTTATACTGGCAAAAGAATAAACTAAAGTACATCTGTTAGTCCATAAACACTAAATGGCTCAGCACCAAAATGCATTACAGACTTGTTGTCAGTGTATCATCTATCTACATATCTGAGGTGTGCTGGCTTAAATCTACTTTACATACGTAGAGCCAGAACCAAAAATGGAAAAACAGCATTTAGTTCCTATGCTCAACTGATTTTGAATTAACTCCCAGAAGCTTTCAGTCCAAATTTCATTTTTCAATAAATCATTTCATCTTTCTTGTATAAGCCTTTTATTTTCATTACTCACTTTTGTTCTCTTTAATTATTTGTGTTGCGTTTAAGCTACTTTGTTGTCTTTTTTCTAATGGACAGTGATTTGAATTGTATTGCCAATGAAATATGCTATAAACAAACTTGTCCTTCCTGGCATTACTTGAAAAAAATTACCCCCAGGATAATGATAGATTTTAAAAAAGCACCCTGTAAAAAAGGAGCAAAGGGAGAGGAAGGATTACAGAGCTATTGAAATCAATTTGACATCTTTAATATAACATTACACACATAAAACAATCACATTTAAATTTTTGTGTAGAAACCTTTGAAAATTAAAGGAAAAACAGATGATGCAATATGCAAATGTCAAATCAGAATGTTGGTTTGAAATGGCACCTACCAAGAAAGAACATTTTGTCACATTTTGTTAAATGCATGATGTTTAAAAACCCTTGTGTGTCTCTCTCACATCCTACAATTTCAAAGCTTAAGAAAATTGCTATTAAGGAACCGAGGGTGAAAGAACTGAGGAAAAAAAAAAACTTTGAGTCTTTTGTAGCTACTTTGGTACGCAGAATCCTATTGTCCCTACATGACCTGTCCAAACATTGTCACTTGAATCCAGCTCCTTAATGCTTCAAAAGTGCTGTCTGCAACCAATATACAAAAGTTTCTCCTCTGCAGCCAAAATTTGATTTAGAGTCTATTGTCATGCAAAGCCTTGTGTATCAAATATTCTTCTTTCAGACTTTTACACCCATGAGCTTGGACTTTTTTAATGATATGATACAAACCTTGTGGATTGTCTGAAGCCAAGCAGATGATTCACAACACAAAATTAATGATGATTACTCAAACTTTTCCTAACATTCTCTTGTCCATCACTTTTCAGTTCAATTATGATTTCAAACCTTGCTTCTTAAGTTCCTATTTTCCCTGAGGTGCTATAATCTACATTGAACACTGACAATAATTCAAGCAAGTGAAGTACAGATTTATTTTTTATTATTTTAATGCTGAGTTCATTTAATCTCATATTTTCAGCTGATGACATGATCATGTGTGTACATATGTACAGTACAGGTGTGTCACCCGTCCTGCAAACAGGAAGCCTGAGTGCGTATCCCAGCTGGGGGGCATGAGCTGCCAGAGTGGGTCCTTAGGCAAGACCCTTCACGCTAATGCCTGCTTTGGGGAGTGGCGGCCTACCGGTTAGGGCATTGTGCTTGGAATCCTGAAGTTCTAAGTTCAAGCCCCACTCCCACAGACTGCCACTCTGGGTCCCTGAGCAAGACCCTTAACACCCACACTGCTCCCTGTGCGCCCCACATGGCAGTCCACTTCTCCCCAAGGGGATCTGTTAAATTCACAGATTTTATCTCATTGCTCTGTACTTGTGATAGTTTAATGACAATAAAAGGCTGAAAAAAAAAGTACGTAAAATGACTGATATCTTTAACTATGCTAAAGTTAGAGCTTTTTAGTGGAACCTTATTGGCAAAATAGAGCCCATGCTTACCCCCTCATTATGATTAATTCAGCCTGTAATAGACACTCAGAATTCAGCAGAAGTGACTACATTGTTGTGTTAATTAATTCTGGATCTCTTCCAGTCTCATCTTCACCCCACTACACTCGACTCCATGGAGGTAGAAGGGTATGACTATCAACAAGATGCTTCAGTGTGTTATAGTTTTCAAAAGAATAATTCAGTCATGGCTTATTGGCACAACTGTTGACAGCGGGACAATGTTGAAATCATTGAAGATTATGTGAAACCTATTATCCACTCCTCTTTCATTACATCCATTAGGTAGCCTACTTGTCTGTGTGTCTGTCATTTTTTGTCCATCTTTTTGTATGCATACCTGGCATTTTTTTTCTGTTTACTATAAAAAGTTTTTTTTTTTTGTCTTGCTTCATGATTTTTCTCACTCTTTATCAGTCTTTCCGCTTTCATCCTCCTGCTCTGCTTTTTAACTAAATGGTAAGCTGTTGTAATAAGCTTGGCTGACTGGTCCCTAACTAAGTAAAATAAGCTTAAAAAACTAACAAGAAGCTTTATTAATTTCTCACTTTATCAAAACAAATTAAACTTCATGTTAGGAAGGGTTTATATGCAAATGTACATGTTTGCAGACACTCATACTCTATTAGAGAATAAACATGCATGGTAGTTAAGAACAAAAATAAACAGAACAGTTTTGCTGCTAAAAAACTAAAACCATTTCTTTGAAAAGTTTTATTCTATAAAAAAGAGAAAAAATGTTCACAGTCTTTACTTTGAAATTTTATTTTAAATCAAACAAATGTTTATTCCTATTGCTATATTATGTATTTCTGAGATTGGTTTTAAATATTTAAGGATATAAGGCATCCTTGTCATCACACGTCAGATTAGGTGAAGCACCTGCCTCTTATTACTGCGTTTTCAAATAGAAAATTGGGAAAGGCCACCCAGTCATATTATTGTCTATCTGCCTTGCATCTCTCTGATGTATTAAGATATGTGGCTCTCAGTAAAAAAATACCCTTCTAAACTTTTAAAAATAAAAACGGGGTTGCAGTATGGGAAGAAGCAGGAGGGATAATTACATTTGGTTGTGTTCCTTTGGGAAGCCTTCATCCCTCCCTTTAATGTGGGTGTTGAATACATATCACCTACCTAAACAGTTTTGCTGACAATTTACAACATTTTAATAGAAATTGTTTCTCCGATTTTTGTGGCCTGTTTAAGCAGGATAATGCTTGCTGCAATGAGGAAAGAATGGTTTATGGCGCACAACAAATTTTATGTGCTGATTTATGCCTTAAACCTCCTGGATTTAAAAGAGGTTGGACATCTGTTGGAGAGGCAAACCTAACCCAAATAGGTCCCACTCAGCAGCAATACAGGACTTGGGGGATCTGTTGTTAAATTGTCAGGGCCAGATAACACATACAGCGGGTGCAATAAATATTGAACTCGCCACCATTTTGTAAATATTTTTTAAAGAGGTGCTATTGACATGACATTTTCACCAGAAGATGACTGTTTTATTACATGCAATGTAATTTCTGATTTACTATGGTTTGATTTCTTTGCATGAGTAAATTGCATGGATTGTTTCCGGCATCTCGTGCAAATGTCATGTCAATAGCACCTCTAGAAATATATTTACTGAGAAAAATGGTGGCGTGTTTAACACATATTTCACCCGCTGCATGCACTAGAGAGACCAATATTCTTTGAAGCAGATACATTGCTGTTGTACAGCTGTGTAAAGGCAATCATATAATATCATAATCAATATCAAAATAACCTCATATGTATCAAATCTCAATGTGCACTCTGAAGATTGATTCACGTTGACATGCTGAATGGTTGAAATGGTCAACATGGCCTTTTTCAGGTTATTCCAGGTTATCATAGTATAGAATTAAACTTTATTGTCATTATATTGTCACACATATTGAGATGTTTGCTTCTGCTTTCAATATATAATTACTTTTTAATGTTGTTTTATTTTTCTCACTGTATTGGGTAGACTCTGCGATCGTCAATGGTGTGTACTGGTCAGAGGCCCTAAACAAGGTGTTTGTGGATAACTTTGAAAGGGATCCCTCACTAATATGGCAGTACTTTGGCAGTGCTAAGGGATTTTTCCGACAATATCCTGGTAAGTGTGAACTTTTTTTAAGAGAAATTTTTATTGAAAAGTTGGTGGAAGGGAAAATGGAGGAAAACTAATACATCACAGTAAACACAAAATGATAAAGACAATATTATGGAATTGATATATTCTGAAACAGTATTGAAATTTTGAAAATCATTGAACAGGTCATGCAATGGCCTCCTTCTCCTAAATACTTTATAAAGAAACAGAAAAAAAAAATGGCTACCTTTATTGGTTTTGAATTCATCACAGCTGTCTTGATTTTTTTAATGAAAAGGCTTTCTACATATCAAAGAAATTATCCTAAGTGGAAACAGCTTGAAAGTGCTTTTTATGAGGGGTTTAGTAATTCTCAGTGCTGGTGGTAAGAAAACTTCTTAAATGCATATCTCTAAATGTTTGTAGTCAAACATGCTTTTACAATTTTTTTCAATTTAGATTTTGAATAGACAGCTGCAAAAGGTTATTTTATGAAGCATGAATGTTAAAAAAAAAAGTATAAAAATTCTTATGGAACCAACTAATCAATACACACTTTTAATTTCAATACACAATATTATTTTTGATCTTAAATGCTTTTACAGGAATCAAATGGAAGCCAGATGAACATGGAGTTATAGCTTTCGACTGCAGAAACCGAAAATGGTACATCCAGGCAGCCACCTCTCCAAAGGATGTTGTGATCTTGGTGGATGTCAGTGGGAGCATGAAAGGCCTGAGACTGACGATTGCCAGGCAGACTGTTTCCTCCATTCTAGACACTCTTGGAGATGATGACTTTTTTAATATCATTGCTGTAAGTCTACACAAAATAAATCTAATAGAGAACCAGTCATTAGACACATGAAACACTACATTAACGCAATTGATTCCATTTTCTGTACTCCATAAAGGTGCACTTAAAGGTTTATGACATTTTTAAAGTTATATGGCAGTAGTTCACAGTTTGTTTTTTTAAATTGCTGCATGCTGCTTGTATATTGTTATTTTTGTGTTTTACGCTTCTATTTTGCTTTGTTTGTTAGTATATAAAGCCCTCCCTGTATGTTTACAATAACAACGGAATATTGAGCCTGTGAGCAAGAGGAAAAAAGGTAGTAATGGGCCAGGCCAGTTATCCCCTCTAAGTGGAAATGTAAAAGTAATTCAGAAAGCCTACGATCCAGTTTAAAAGCACTAAACAACAACAGGATTTCAGTCCAAGATTCAAAAAATCAAACAAAATGAATGTTGGATTATATGCAGAATCCAAAGAGAAAACCCATGCTAGTAATATAGACCCACATACTACCAAGAAAGGAGATGTGAAGCAGATGCCTGTAGGTATGAAGCACTCACACCTAAGGGGACTTTAGAGAAGCCAGTTAACCTAACAGTCATGTTTTTGGACTGTGGGAGGAAGCCGGAGTACCAAGAGAGAACCCACGCATGCTCAGGGAGAACATGCAAACTCCATGCAGAACGACCCCGCACCGGGAATCGAACCCAAAAACTTTCTTGCTGCAAGGCAGCAGTGCTACCCACTGTTCCACTGAGCAGCCCATAGCCTTAAACCATAACTCTTAATACTAAACCTACCAATGAACAATTTCAAATACATAAGTCTTAACCTTAAAAATTGATTTGGAGAACACTTTCATCACAATGAGTAATGTTTCTTATATGTGTTGAGTCAGCTTCTTGGACCCCAAAAAATTATGTTCTGACCCAGTTAACAAACAGCAAGCTTCAACACACAAATGAGACAGCTCATTTTTATATTTTTCTGTTCAGAATAGAAACATGCCTTGAAAATTAGCTTTCTGTCATGCTCCTAACTAATTAATTGCCATTGAAATTAAGATTTGAAATGCAAAACAGACAGACTTAGTTGTTGCCTGCCCTCAGGATTAAGCTATTGTTATCATTTATTCAAACCGATGCAGTTCTGAATACACAGAAATTTAAAGTCTAAATCTTGGCTGAACAGAGGCGTAAGCAGTCGGATTTTAGCAATATCTCCAAATCGTGACAGAAATTTTAATTGGAAATGATATGATCCTGAATTAAGCACAAAAGTAGATGTTAGGAAGTCACTTCTTTTTATACATTAAAAAAAGGTTTAATTGACACTAAATATAATGGTAAGTTGAAAACTATTTTACTGAAAAAAAGGAACATTTGAAAATATACATTAAAGTAGTTGCTTATTTTGAGAATGAGATACATTCAAGCAGGCATGGTATTGTGCTTTAAACGTTTATTGACAAGAAACCTTCATCAGAGATTAGCAGTAAATTAGGGTGATCTGGATGTGCAGCTCACAGCAGGGGGTCAAAGGCAGGATGGTTAAAACTTCAGATGCATTCATTGGAAAGACTAAGGTTGTTCACAGGAGGACAGAGAACAGCAGACATGGTCCATGGATTAGGCAAGGTTGGTCTTCGGGATAAAATTACACATCTGTGACCAGAGAGAAAAAGCCAATTTGGTGAGTGATGAGAACAGGCTGAGAAAGGGAAACACAGGAAACTATGAACCTTAAAAGTTATATAAGAAATGGCAGGCAAATAATACTGGACATCTACTCACGCAAAGTTTTTCAAAAATCTGACAATGGCTGATTGTTGAAACTCTGCACAATTCCTCATTCCCACATCCTCCAAACCATTACATATTGATGCCTTTTTAGTCCATCCTGCAAAGGAGTGACAGAGCAAACACGAAATGTACGTGTGAAACCTGCCTAAGCATGCAGATAAACAGGTGTAGAGGACTTGCTTGACTAAGCTGCTGGCAAAGAATTGCAGGTAGCCAAGGATCCTGATTGCTGAATGCAGCAGCAGCAGACAACAGAGACTGTCAGGTCAGAGCGTGACAACCAATTGGTTCCTAATTTCCTAAAACCATTTTTTTGCCCTCATGTCTCATGGAAATATTTTCACTAAGATCTCTTCACTAAGTTCAATTGCACTCTTGAACTTACAACTATAGATATATATATATATTTTTCAGTATTGCACTGCAATAAAAACACATTCTCAGACCAATACATTTTTCATACAGTAAATTCAGAATAAAAAAGATAAGAGCATAACTATTGGGTTGGAGAAAGACAATTACATTGTCTTCCAACTACTCTGAACTTTAACATATAATTACACATTAACTCGCATTGTTTTTTTTATAGTAAACCTTGGATAGAATGTGCATGTGATTTCATGTAGATAAAAGCAATTTATCACTTCTCCACAATGCCTTTTTTCTTCCATTCCATAATTTGTCATTTAAGAAAATTAAAGTTTTTAAAATATATTTTATACCCTTTCTTTATATTTCTCTAGTACAATGAGGAATTGCATTATGTGGAGCCATGTCTGAATGGAACCCTGGTTCAAGCAGATGTCACCAACAAAGATGTGAGTATTAAGAGTTTTTTTAAACTGCTAAATTAAGGAAAATATGACTCTAAGTCAACTTGAAATAGTTCATGGGTTAGCATTTTGCTAGGACTTTGAGGCAACAGAAAGTGACATGAATTGCAATTGTGGGTGTTCAGAAGAACAACTGCATTTTTCTTTAAAAAAAAAAATCCTAAATCAACTTAAAAACTGTTTCATTTACAATATTTGGTTCTGTCATTAAAAACGAGGGGGAGCAATAATTAAATAAACCTGTGTAGAAATAGGTAAACACTACTCTTTCAGGGTGAAGTAAAGGAAAACAACAGATGCCAATGAAAATCACATATGCCGGATTTCATTTATAAAGCTTAAATAAATATTTTTAAAACAATTAAAAGTTAAAGGCCATTTGTTTTTCAAACTTGCAGCATGCAGAAGCATATCCAAATACTTTTAATTATTTCATCCCATTCAACTTAGTTCAGTTCAAAATGCTGTACTAATTCCAAAGCTGAGATAAAATATTTTTGTAATAAATGGTTAAGTGTGCAATGATGCCATTTTTGGGAAGATCTTCACTGCACTCTCAAAATCCCTTGTCAGAAGCTTTAGTACCTCAATATTTCTTTGCAAAATCCCAATAATATTGGAGCATTATGCAAATTCTGAATAAGACAGTTTATTTAAAAGTGACTTACTCAGTAAATATACTATGAGTGGTGGTTGAAAATGTATGATGTAGCCATCAGGATATCACAGTGATTAAAAGCAATGGCAAGATTTCAATCCTCTCTGTCAATGTTTAGTGATTACACCATAAAATAATATTTATTGTGAATTCAATAAAACACTGAGTTTCCTGTAAGGACATGTTCTACTTCCAAGTTCTGAAAAATGCTCTCTGTATGTATTTTAATGTTAGTTTCTGTTTACTTTTGTTTGTCTAGGCACTTATGAATATGGATTAGAATTGTGTGTTTAGGATTGTGTGCTTAGGTGAAGATAATAGCTTAATATAGTTTAGTCAGCCCACATAAGGGAAGAAAGCAATGTGCACCAGCAGATATGGCTAATGTCTTACTTTAACAGAGGACATAATGAGGTTGTCCCAGTAGAGGCTCCAAATTTACTCCGTCTTTAAATTAATGTATGTTATTTTTAATCCATATTTTTTCTTGGTAAAAAGTACTTAAAGTGATTAAGATCAGAAATTCAACAGATCAAACAGCCTAAAGGTTTATTTTTTTGTCACAGATGAGTGAGGAGTTTAAAAGCTGAATTTTAGATATGTTTTAGAAGTTTTGCTTAATTTAAAACACCCAATACTACTTATCCTCATCCTCATCAGTGTTTTTTTTCTTTTTATAACATTCAGACAGACACCTTTTTTGTCTAGACTCTTTGTTAAGATTTTGTGGATTTTTCTTGTTACCGGTATACTTTTCGATATGTATGACTTATATGTGCTCTTAAATAAATTTTTGCATGTTAAATTTTTGTGGGTTCATTGCTAATTTAGTTTCGTAGGGATTCTGTGGGTTGTGCGGTTTGAACGGAGCCCAGTGGCAATCCTTTTACTTTGACCTCCCTGACTAAGAAACTGAAAAAAAAAACTTTTGCCAGGAAGTATTTCATACCTACAAAGAATTTCTCTTTGGAGATAAGCTGCCACACATAGCATATTTCTTCGGTTATCTTACCCAGCATGGTATGGTTTCTACTTTGATCTGTCCAAATCATGGTCACTGCAGCTGTCCAACATGTTAATTCATCCATTTGCCCAGAGAGTCCTGGTTATTAATTAGATATAAAAATGTTTTTTTCACGTATAGGTTTTATTGCAAAAGGGATATATACGCAAACACATATAGAAGCTAGTACATTTTAAAATGACATACAAGGTAGAAGATTCTAAAAAAAAAAAGGATTATACTAAGATAATGAAAGTAAAAATAGATGATGTAATGTAGTGTCACAGGATGTTAAACTCTTGATTTGACGTCGTACTGGATCACTGTTCACGCCTGCTAATCGGATTAAAACAGGCTGAAGTTTTCATATCTTTTTACTTAAACTGCTCCTTTTTATTAACTGAAAGCTCTTTTCTGCCTTTAAATGCACTTATCAGAGATGCACAATCTCCATGTTGAGATGAACAATTTGCCATAAAATCTAAACCAAATGCCTCAGTAAGCTGTGGTTAAAGATATCTCTTTCATTCACACTAATGCACTTAAAGCTTGGCAGATATACTATAATAACTTTAAAGGGTTAAAGGTGTCTGCTCTCTGAAGAATTTAATGTCCAACACATATTTTAGTTAGCACAGGCATATTTAGTATTGCACTCACACTCAAGGAGCTAGAATCTCTCTCAGCACACACACATTTTCTGTCTGCCACTTAAATACTCAGCTGGATTTAAGCATAGCCCGCTGCTTTATGGAAGTAGAGGTGTACAGGTGCCTGCACTGGCAATAGTTAAAGCTAGCTCCAGGGAACAGTCTTTAGTTGGAATGATTAACCTTTAATCATAATACATGCAAAGGCTGTCTTTTTGCTACAGTATATGATGGTGTTAGAAAAAGCACTGTGAGTTATTTCTGTTTACACACAGTATGTTATTGTGCTTGTGTGTATGTGTGTGCAACTGTACGGCTGTCTTCTACTGGCTGTACTCTATTGTGCTCTATGTTCATATATATCTTGCTGCCCCAGCTGGGTGCTGGAACACTTTTCTTTGACCATAATTGAAGAAACATAAAAAGAGAAGAATGGTTCAAAATGATATGAAAAAAAGAGATAAGCTAAAGAAAGATGTATTACCAAGAGTATGACAAAAAATAAATGCAGCAATCCTCAAAGATCATGAGGTAGATGAAATGAGGTGGTCATATACTATAAGATATACGAATCACATGCAATGTTTTATTTCCAACACAACTTGTAGTTTGCATGAAGATGTGGCCCTTTTGCTGGTAGAAATGTTTTCCACTTTTATAAAAAAAAAAAAAAAAATCTAAAGTGTTTTGTAATATACATATACATACACCCATCCATCTTCTCCTGCTTAGTCCTTGTCAGGGTCACAGTGGGGCCGATGCCTATCTCTTGCAGTCTGTGGGCGAGAGGTGGAGTACAACCTGGACAGGTCACCAGTCAATCGCAGGGCAACACAGAGACACACAACCATGGACACACACACTCATAGTTTTTGGATTG